GCTGCAGTGGACGCTGCACCTTCTATGGGCCCGTGGTTTTTCATAATAATTCTTATAATGTCTGTTTTTTTTATATAATTTATGTATTTATGGGAACCCAGTTTAGGTTCTCTATATACTATCTCTATATATTTTCTCTATATATTTTTTCCCATTTTCGTAGTGTTTTGTAGGGTCGTGCGAAGATGAGTGCATTTACCCTATGTTAGTTTTTAATTAAATTTTATTATGCATCGTTGTAGTTATTATTAGTATATGTCGTGACGAAGGGAGAGCTGTGGAAGCGGAGTCAACTGTTTTCTTTCTCTCCTTCATGGTAGATGATTAAAGTGACCTCTCTTTTTTTTTTATTTTGTTTGTTCCTGTCAGAACTAATGCCTTTAATAATAAAATAAATGCTAGAATAACGGATGGTGCGGGTGTCAGAATAGGTATCGGTATGGTTTTTCTTAGAACCATGGTGAAATGTATTTTTTTTTCTTTCTGTTCTTGTTCTTTTTTTTTTTTGAAGAGGAGTGGTTAGACTATTGTGTTAAGTTGTGCCTGGCAAAAGTGCAGCTGTGTACTTTTTTTTTTTGTTTTTTTTTTTTGTATCTGTTGTCGTCGTGTGCTACTGAATGAATGAGTTTGTGGAGACCGTTTCTTCCGTCCCAATTCCTTTGGAGGAATTGAATAGTTTTCCTATTTTGCAACTGGAAGAGAAAAGCACCGATGAGGTATACTTGAAAAGAGGATGTGATGGACCGGATGTAACGGATTCTGAACCTCCAGTTAAAGAGGAATTAATGACTTCTATTCCATACGTGTTTAGTTCATGCGTGCCATCTTCTGGTTTCTCAGCTTTGACTACAAAGGAGCCGTTAGATCGCGCACTAGTGGATGTCGCATCGACACTGGCTGTATGTGCAGCAGCATCTGAGCCGGAGCTTTCTGATAGTTCTATTGCCCCACCGTTTATGTGATGGGTTCTCCTGTTTTTTGGTTCCATACGCTCTGTTTACTGTATGTACAGTGTTGATTTCGATGAGCACCTTCCTCTCATCACCTATGGTATTAAGTTGATGATGGAGAGAAGCTTTCGTCCTCAGCCATGTTTCTTTGGGTGTCTTTGACTTTTATTTTATTTTTTGTAATGGATGCGATGGAGCTTTGTACAATCCACAATTCAATAAAACAAGTGACGAAAGAACATACGACTTTTTTATTTTTGCTTTTTTCCCTCTTTCTCTGGTATACCACCACTGCCTTCTCTCATCTTTACTATGTTGGAAGTTATGTCGGGTGGCATGATGATTAGGTATTGTGTCATCGTTTTTTTTTTTTTTTTTTTTTTTTTCTTTTTTTTT